GATTTTTGCTGATCATTCAACTCACTTAACCACGTATTTCAAATTGATCTCTGGCGCAAACTGTTTAATTCAGCATTACAGAAATTACACAATGGACGTACCTGACGAGTTAAAAATCTTCGCTTGTGATGATGGGGATATCTTAACCTTTCGCGGTGAATAGCAGAGGTTGTCTTCCAAATAACTTTCCCTCGGAACTTAAGTTCTTTTCCTTTGTTGTCTGTCCTTGTCTCTTTAAACAAATCTATTATTCCGTTGACAACCTCGCGGTATGTTGTGAAGTTTGTCGAAGTCATAAAATGCAGACCATGATTTAAGAGAATAACACTTTTCTCGTTGTTCATTTGTGGCAGATGAATTACTTTCGCAATGGCGTCCAACACTCGGGACACATTTATTGGTAGGAAATTTTGTTGCTGCATTTCCACCGTGGCGTTTTTAATTGGATAAATCCAGTTGTACGAGAAACTGCAAGCGCGGAAAACCGTTCTACACAGCGGAGTTCGGTGGATAGAGCGATAAAACCGACCCGCATTTGAATCTCCATAGATCCACAGTACACCCTCGCGGTTCCTTGGAGAATGTTTCGTCCACAAACCTGTAGAAATTGAAAGAACACCCTATTTCACATTAAGCTATTTTCGAGATCTCTGAGGCATGCGCATTCGTCTCAAAACGAGGAGAAGTGGGAGATCTTTGACGTGAAAATGCTTTGAATTCTATGTTGATGCAAATGAATTTTCACAAGCAAGATCGGCTTTACATTTTGTCATATTTTGAAAAATCTCTTTACTTTAACTCTGATTGTGTTGCAGCCTGATTCCTTCAAGTAATGATTTCTTCCATGTGAAGTCTTCAGCGATTTAATACTAGCGGCTGGTAAGTAAATTTGATCGGACTATAAGAAAGAATGAAGTTTCCGAAAACGTATGCCTCTGGTTTGATCCCCTTGCTGTATATTGGTGAAACGACCTGCATTACCTTCCACTTGTGGTTTCCAGGTTCCGTTAGACCAGCGGCCGAAGCCATCCCATAAGAATTTGCAGTCCTCCCCGCAAGAAGGAGGATTACCAAATCCATAACTGAGAAATTCTGAAAGCGTGAAACGACGTTAGAATTTGTCCAAAAAGCTAAAAGATTGATAATTGAGTATTGAGATATTCCAAAAGAGTGTTGATCACAACTAAACACACATTAAAAATATATTTTAGCTTTTTAGTCTATAGCAGGTTTGAGACAACATATTGATCGTCAAAAATGTGGCTTACCTGTAAAAGTTCCCTTCAAAAATTTCCTAACTAAACGTATTTGAAATTGGGAAGGGTTTTTCCACCTTTGCCAAAACCGACCAGTGGCGATTTTTGATTTAGTGCTGAAAACCAAAATTAAAGTAATCACGACAGCCAATCAGAAGAAGGAAAATATCGCAGAGAGCCAATGAGAACTCAAAGTCAAAACAAGCAAACTGTCTTGATCGCGAAAAAGCGCTGGTGAACAAGTCGCAGTTGGTTTAATTTTGAATCTGATTGGATAAGAAAGTGGTGCGAGCGTTCTTTTTTTCTTTTGACCATAACAATTTCAGATTTCTTCCGACTGCTTCATGGGAATTTGCTCCAATTAGTTAAGTGCACGTAATCCAGTCCATGAACTCTCACCCCCACCTATGTGTTGTTTCACCCTATGAAAGTTTTTCCTATGGAATTAAAACCTGGATTCGCGCCAATCCCCTCTCGGAATAAAGGGGGTAAGTCTCTAAAGAAACTGTGGTGCTACGTCGGTGGGAGAGTATAGCAGGTAATTTAGTGTTAACAACTGAGTTTAAAACGTAAATTGACCACCGTAAAGAGTAAAAAAGCTGACGTTTCGATCGTTAGCCCTTCGTCAGAGCGATAGACGAAGGGCTAACGCTCGTCAGCTTTTTTACTCTTTACGGTGGCCAATTTGCGTTTTCAACTCAGTTGTTAACGATAAATTACCCTCTCGGAATAACTCGGGGCCGACCTAGGTGATGAGAGGTGCGCTACCTTCATATCTTGTAGGACCAACTGGTGACGCCACTTCTATTGTCAGCGGTATTCCTTCCCAAAGGGGAGTTTGTAAATAGACGTAGGGTTCCATTAGGGTCCCGTGTGGTTGCCCGTTTCCATGGATATTTCCTGATGGACAAAGAGAGCAACGAACTAAATCTTTCCCGCTCAGACTGTAACTCCTGATCGATGTATTCATAACCAGGGCTACCACCCAGCTCCCGAGGGAACACGGTGGCTAAGCGTCGAACAAGCGCGAGTTGATCAATTTTCAAAAAAATCTCTCTCAGGTAAAACAATAGTAAAAAATACTTCAGATGAAATCTGGAAAGGAAACAAATGGGAGAAAGGAAAACTTGAGACTCTCTGAACACAAAGCTTTTTCCGATAACAGGTGTCCTGTTGACTGACCATTTCATTTGTAGCTCTATGAAAAAGGAAACACGGTTTTAAAACACTGTGAATAACAAACTTCTGTGGCTGGTTATAGCTCCAATAAGTGAAATAAGACATCTTTGTTCTGACAGCCTGAAAGCATACCTCTTAGCCAAAACAACGTTCGCTCACTCAGACGTTTGATCGCTTTTCTTCCTTGAGAGGATTCCGGGAACCATGTCATAAGATAATTTTTTTTTTAGGTTCTCAGAAATTCTTTACGATTCATAGAAAACAATCGTCTACCACAACTTACCAATCATAAACCAGTATTCAGGTGGATTTTTCATTCCGTCGCACAGGGAGTAATCCAAAACAATCAATCCAGAGTAGGTACCAGGCTCCAGTATAAGAAACAACACCTCGTACGTTCCATTTTTGTGATCAATCACTGTCGGTGCCAGTACTGATGGGCCCCATATAAGAACCCGCCAATCGTCACCCCCGATAGCCTTAGGTTGGCCACTGGACGTTTGGGACTGAATACTGAACCTACTAAACTCGCCTGCAGGTCTGATATCCATATAAGGAATAAAGCTTTGCCTCGGGTCAGTCCTGTTTTCAATACCCCAACCGGGTAGACTTCTACCAAATTTGGTGTTCCCTTCACAAGGGGATCTTAATAATTCCCAGTTTATCGAAACCCTTCGCACTCGACACCAGTCCCACCTGAACTCCTCTAAACTGTTGCGATTTACCGTGCTCGTCAGATATAAGGGAAAATACCACTTGAGGTACACGAACAGGATAACTGTTAATATCCAAAAGAGAAAAAATGCTCTGCGCAGTATAAACACCCTCGGTAAACTTCGTAAAGTTCTGCCTCTTGTCAGGAGAATTTGGGCCGAAGCACAGAATCGAGTGAGGTTGCGCCGCCAATCTGGAGGACAGCGGAGAAATGCATAAAATGCATTCTGGGATGCGCTGTTAGCATAGGTTTGTTCGTCACGCTGTTCCAGATAAATATCAACATCTCTGTGAGACTCGGTCATAGAAAGCACTCTTAAAAACTAAAAGCGATTTGAACATGAGAGGAGCCTAGGATAAATGAACAGAAATGAGTCAGAAACCAACGATAATGCATGGCTAACGGCTCATAGACACAATGTCTATTAAGGAAAAGTTTTGTTATACAAAATAGTAAACAGAACCACAAAACAATTTATTAACAGTAGGAGGTTCGTGAACGCGATCAGTGGCAGCTATACTCGCGACTTTCTTCAAGGAAACTATCGTTATAGTTTGGAAAAGACCAGCACGAACTTTCTCCTTATCTCATCACCTCAGAATAACACATTATGGTCAAGAGAATATATGAAATGACCGCCAATTTAAGAAGCTCTTGATTGTTAAACAAATTCTCCTTGTCAGCACCTTAGAAAATGTATAGAGAGCAGTATGGAGAATATGCCTGTTGATGTTAGGGTAAAAAAAGGTCTTAATTATTTTTATTCAGACATGGATATTGCTTCTTGAGACGATAAGAATTAACACTCAGCTCATTGGTTCTTCTGAAGACACTCGACTTCTGGCAACCTCTCGGGTTCAATTTCAATTTTTGGAATAAAACTGTAATAATAACAAAGATCCCAATGCTTAAATTGCACAATTTTCAAGATTCCTGACTCGTAACCCTCCAAAAATAATCTTAGAGCAACTAGAACAAAGATTAAGGCAAAATAGAGAAACCGACTCTTAAAGTTTCGCAGCTTTCTTTCAGCTTTAATCGAGATTTTGGCCATCAATGCTATTACTAACGAAGCAATAATCTTCATGGCTGTTCTTCAAGAAACCTCATTAACTATCTCAGCGCTAAACGTGAAATTACCTTTGTTTTGTTCAGTCACGCTTGTATTACGACCGGTAACACCAGCAAAAATATAATTTAAACTGATTTGAAATTATTGTCGACAAACCTCTGTTGTGATAATTCAAAAGTATGATTTCTTCGTCCCCAAAAAGCATCAAATGGCTTCATTCCATGCGGTAGGGATTAAACGGTCGTCTAACGAGTTGAATTTCTGTCGTCCATGTAGTCTCTCTGTTTGATTTAACTTTGGAAAAATATAATAAGGTTCTTTCCGTAGCACGTGATGTTTTAGTACCAGTCGCTGTTTTGGTGCTCTATTCACATCAGAAATAATTGGAAACAAATAATCCTTTATTTGTTCTGGTAGTTAGCAGTTTGTGTTAAGATCCGTTCGACAAAAACTATGCCAGAATGTCGACTCTAACGGATGAGTTGTTAGAAATTTTGTTTTAAATCCTAGAAAAGCCGATAAATCAAAGCGTACTACAGTACTTTCTTGACAAAACAGAAGAAAAATAAGTATTATGCTCTGTTCTGTCTAATTTTAATCTTGGACGGTTCCGTCTGATTTTGAACGGTCCTGTCTAATTGTAGACGGTTCTGCAATTATTTCCGATTGGCTTTGTTCTTTTTCTAACTCTTCGGTTCCGGTTCCGATGAAATGAAAATGGTAGCACACCACAGGTAAGAAAATGATTTTATTACAAGCTATCTGTTGACAAAAATTGTCACCCTTCTCTCTTGTAGGTTCTGTAAAAATAATCTTCCAATAGTCTCTCCGCCGACTCGAATACGAAATGTTCATAATGCACAGCGTCTCTCGGTCTGGAGGGTGTGCCCGTCCCGTATGGATAAGAATCGGTCAGCGGATGAACGTCCAGGACAGGGACATTGGCTCTACACATTGCTGAGGTGGCGAAAGCGTTAAAGAGAAGAACTCGCTGCTGAGAAAAAAATTGGATCAATATCAGTATCTGGGCTTCTGGCCACCTACCCCTCCCCTAACCCAACAACAGTCAATTGATAACAATTTAGGTTTAATGTTGGGTTAGGGGAGGGGTAGGTGGGCAGTTGCCCAGATACTGATATAGATCCAAAAAATTAATACAAAATGGTGTTTGATGCGAATATTGTCAAAAACAAATGGAAGATATATCCGATTGAATAACATCTGTAGGAAAGTACTCCTAATAAATGAACATTTCATACCTGGTATGTTAAAAATCTCCTAGCTTGAATGTGTTTCCCGTCCAGTTTTTGTTTATTCAAGGCCGTTGTTGTTCTCCAGATCATTTCTCCAGGAAAAAGCAGATTTCCATCAGACCTCTTCACCATCTTTGTTTCTTGGACGAGTCTTATTAGCGACTCAATTGTCTTCTGATAGTTGGAGAAGTTTGTACTCTCCAAGTAATGTAGTCCGGCGTTAAATAAGATAACACTGTTCTTGTCAAAAAATGGTTTGGATATGACATCTAAAAGTTCACTAACAACTCTCATAAAATTAAAATCGAGATTGTCATCTGCGGTTTTAGCAGAAGAAATATTTCCTGCGAACAACAAAGAAAGAAAGTATTGAAGAACTTGTTGCCATGGGAATGTGCCGATAGTCGTTTTGGTACAAGCGTAAGACTATGAATGAAAACGTGAGCCCTTTCCGATTGATCGAGCGCCAAGTCTTACTCAGAAATCTTATTGAAATTCGAAATATATTGGAATTCAACATCATCACCTTTCAACTGATATATCCAGTTGTATGTGTGCCCGCACCACTTGAAAACGTTAGTGCACAGCGGTCTCGGCCTGACTCCCCAGAAAAACTGCTCACTGACCGAGTCGCCATATATCCACAGCACACTATCTTTCCGCAGAGGACTAGGATCTAAGGAACTGCGCCTGTCTTTATCTGGAGTAAAATTATACGAAGCAGTTAGACTAGTTCGCTCAACGATGTTTCGTTGGAAAATACAATTTGCTCTTTCAGTTTTCTCGATGATGATGACTTGCACTCAGTTTGTTCAGACGTCAGTAACAACTTCCATCGACAAAGAGACTCCCTTTTCATAAAGAGAAATTAATATAGTGTAGTTTATTTGTCACAACACCTATGGTGAGTCTTTGTGATTGTATCTTGAATCTATTCCGGTTTCCCATGGCTACCCATCTAGACAATCCCTAGGCTTCGTCGTGCGTTCCAAACACACGAACTAGTAAGGAAGGACCGCGTGACAAACCGACAATGAGGTGAGAACTCGTGACCATGAGAAAGGTAGGGGTGACTATGGGATACAAATGTGTGATAATGGTGTAAAAACGCGTGACACAGACGAACGAATGCGTGACATAACCCAGAAAATGTTAGAAAGGAGTCTTCATCTTACCGTCTCCTCCTATGAAAGGCCGCCATGTGACTGACCCTTGTCGACCATTGACCCAATTGCCAAATCCATCCCAAAGAAATTTGCAGTGAATTCCACAAGTTAGGTCGAAAGCTGCGGTTTGCACCACTGAAAAGAAATGAGATCAAATCAGAGCTCGTCGATTTTTTGTTTTGGCTCTGAAAAGGTAGCACTCAGGTGGAGTAATAGAACTAGAAATGCAGCTACAAAGCAATAAAATCCTTGCAATGGCCAATCAGATGAAAAGGGAGAATCACAAAGAGCCATTGAGAACTCAAACAAAATTAAGCACCTTTAAGAGCGGGAAACGATGCACGTGATCAAGTCGTGAATGGTTTTAGTTTCACGTGTGATTGATGAGGAAGATAATTTGTGTTTCCTCGACCACCAACAGAAAGAAGAAACTTGTGTGTAAATTAGAACTTTATTCAAGAGTCAAATAATCCTCGGTGGAGCAAAACCAAGGATACTTCTACATCCCTTTAAATAATCATTGAAGATTGCTCTCCCTAATTACAATGAACCATTAAACAAGAGTAAGGTTTCCAAAGAACCTTCCACCAATATGTAACTTCCTTGATCACGCAGCGTGCCACTATGCTTTAATGTATCGCCTCACCTTGATATAGAGGCTGTTTCTCAGGAGGCATCGGACGTATGGTAATCCATATAGGGTTACCAGATCTCAGGGGCTTCAGAATGTAAGGCCGTTCAGCTTTACGTTTAGTGGGTCCCAGTACTCCCTCTTGTTGGTTTTTGCCTTGAGCGTTTCCTTCAAAGTATCAAATTTGTCAAACGTTTTCGCTGAAAATGTACCAGTTCCCTTAAAATACTCCTGGGTAGAGAGAAGCACTGTGAGAGTAAACTGTTTTGCTCAAGAACACGACACATTGACCCAACAAGGTTTGTAGCCCAGACCTCTCGACCTGGAGTCCAGCGTGCTAATTATTCAGCTACCGCGTCTCCTAGCAACATTAGGGTTACAAATAATGTCTTCACCTGTAGGTTAGATATCTTGATTATCAAAAGAGCTATGGGGAATTTTCTGTTTGGAATGAGTACTGTGTGGGATATTTGTACCTTGGAGTGATCCTCTTTTGGTCAACGAGGCTTACTTCTAGGTTCTTTTATTGAGAATTACCGGATTTCTAGCATTATCAAAAGATAGCTGCGTGCGTCTGCTTAACTGTAATTATGCTACACTTATTCTTAATATGATCAAGTGAAAATTAATCCTTGCAGCTAGATCATTCCTACGAAAATCTGAGAGCGTTAAAATCTTGAAAGGTTGAAAATTGTTCTTTAGGTTTAGTAATTTCTCGGAATTTAAATTTCATTGATTAACAGCACCAGAGACATTAAAGGTTAAAAAAATTATGAAATTCAGTTTGATTGTTCATATATATTAATTCTGTGCTATTGAGCGCTAATATTGCAAATATTATAATTATTCGGCAACTTGGTGACAACAACAACAACCGCACTAGAAGTGATTGACTTACCAACAATAAACCATTCAGAAGGCGGATCTCTAAATCCATTGCAAAGCGAATGATCCAAAACCGCTTCTACCTGATAATTACCGGGCTCCGTAATAAGGAACACGATTTCATAGGTCCCATTCATGTGATCAAAAACAGTCCCAGCAACCGAGGCAGGGCCCTTGAGCTGTACCCGCCACGAGTCTCCTCCGATTGTCTTTTCCTGGCCACTGCTCGTCACTGTCCTGATGCTGAACCTGCTAAATTCACCACACGGTCGAATGTCCCACATAGAAATGTAACTCACATCGGGGTCCGTGCGGTGTTCCACTTCCCAGCCCGGCAATGAAACACCCCAGGCTAGGTTCCCACGGCAAGGTTTTAATATTTGTTCCCAGTCCACTCGCATATGTCTTATTCGACACCACTGTCTCATGAAGTCAGTGGTTCTGAGTTGATCCGATGACGGTGATTGGATGATTTTAATCAAAACAATCGTAGACAAAGTTATTAGGAGTATTAACCATGTTCTCTTCCTTTTTGAGAATTTATAGCTGGGACAGGGCTCCTTACGGACCATTCTGCTAGTCCAATCCACGATTACATTGTTTAGTAAGAACTGAAGGGCAAAAAGACCTGTTTAACACAAAATACACAATGAGGAAAACAATAGACCTACCTCAAAACTTGATGATAAACTCTGATTAATTTTATTAGTCTAAATTTATTTGTTGATTTCGTAGGACAAGTACAGCGTTGTCGACGAGAATTTGAACTAGATTAACACCTTGCGAAGTTACGCTCAAAATCCACTGAAAATCAGTTTAAAACAAATTCCCATGGTATTAAAAATACATATCACGTTTTGGATTTTCCTATAAATACAGTAACAGGTGCGACTTATTGTCGTTGACGACGTTTTGGTATTTGCGCTAACAAAAATTGCAATAGAACTGCGTTTTTTTGGATTCAAATTTAAGATTTGGAGAAGCCTTTCTATTAGATTACTAAATATTGTTTATCAGTTCGTGAGAACAAATAGTAAAGGTCTCTATTGCCAATGAGAAACTGAACTGCTTCTTGAGAAACAGCGGCAGATTAGAAATGCTTTGCTTACTGGTCAAATCGGTCCTGTAACTAACTAATCTGATTAATTATGTGCTTACCTGTTCATGATTAACGATATTTGGAGTTACTATCGAGCATTTTTCACGTCCTCTTCGCGGAAGCCTCTTTCAATTCTTTTCAAGCGCAAACTGTCCGTGCGCAGGTGTAAATTAATTATCATAAATTAATTACCCGTAATCAATTGCGCGCCAGGTTTTAAGAACGAGTGCGCAGTGAATTTCGCAAGATTTATCCAACTCTCAAGTTAAATATGGAAGTTCCTAATGAGCAATTTTATTTCACCCTTACGGTGTTCTAAAGAGCCATTTATTTAGCATCTTTTAAGAGATCTTCCCTATTTAGTTTAGTTTGGAACTAGCATTGGAAGCATTGCAACTTTATGTTAACATAACGCAAAAGGTTTAATATGCAGCGTGACCACGCGAAGTGTCAAGATTCTGGAAAAATACACTCCTGATACCAAGGGTTGAATTTAAAATCCATACATTCATAAAAGCTTGATTAATATCAACATGTTTAGCGCACTAAGAGGGAGATCAGGTCTTAAAACTGAACAGAAATTTAGAATTATCACTCTTTGTTCGTTCAGCGATTCCGATTTTTATATCTTCACAAACTTACGCATCTTGATAGCTGACTGATCATCGAGAATTGATGTGCACGGGAACAAAACCAGCACAAAACGGACGACTTAAAAATGATGAATTTCTCTGATTCGAATTTCAAAAATATCTCAACCTTGATACGAAAAAGTGACCTTTTAGTTAGGTTTCCCTTGTTAGATAATTGTCCAATAGCATCTATGTCTAGAATAGCAAACTAAAACAACAGAACTGCTACTTTATCAGCTTATTCTTCTTTATTCACATGACGGAAATGACCATCGGGTAAATGCAATCACGTGCGCAGCCCGTGCACTCAGGCACTTGTCAAGTGCTCCACCATCAAGTGATTAAATGATTACTCTTTTACTTGCTGCAAATTAACTGATTCGGATCGGTGAGATAAATATGCTGAGTTGAAATTACTTTTCTGCTCAGCAGACATTTGGGCACCGGAGGTTTGAAGAAGACCTGAAAATCAAAAGTAGTGGATTTAACTTAATAAGTGACTCCTGTGGTCGTTCAGATCCAATTAAAAACAGTATTCTTCATGCGAATGGTCAGTCAGACCCGGTGGGTGGGGCACTCTTTATTTCGGCCAAACAAATGCATGCACCACCCAAAAGGGTGTAGCATTCGGGGTAATGATTCTCAAGCAGAGTACAGACTCTGACTATTTGGCCTTTTGAATAAGCTGTCGTTCTGGATCAGAAGCCTTAAACGAATTGTAAATTGGGTTGATGCGCTATATATATTTCTGCTTCTGGTAATTTGTTCTAAGTCTAATCTTAAAATTTCTCTATCACAAGCATGCATCCATGTTATTGATATACCACAATTCATAAAAATCCTTATCTTAAGAGTAGCGAAGGGATTTTCCCTGAAATAGGTTCACGGTTTTAAGAGCCGGCGGCACACCCCACACTTTCTTTGAATGCTTCCCGACCCAACCTACTCCACCCTTTTTCCCAGGGGGTCTTGTCGAATGAAAAGCACCAGAAATTTTTTGATGACACAGCCTCATCCTTACCCTTAGAAAATTGATTGGAGGGTGCTCCCACATAGGACTCGTGAGGTTAGCTAATGCCGCCCATCCAAAAGACTTGAGCCGGCGAGTCACCGGATCGTACAACAGAAACACTGGGTAGGACTGGTCACAGTGCATGTTTTCGGAAATATCGTACCAGTAGTGGACTCCTGGAATGGCAGAGATTTTGTATTAAGAGTTATTAATTGTTAATCTATCTATACATCTCTGTATATGTACGAGGAATCGACTTTCTCTCATATCATAAACTGGCATACCGATTTGGGGTTAAAAGGCGCTGGAGTAAGTGAAAACAGTAACGAAATATAATACGTCTTCATAAAAAAGGTTTTCTACTCGGCAAATTTAAAAGCTAGTGCGTGTCCATCCCTTTCGTGTTTGCCTCCCCTCAGCTGAAACAGAAAAATACAAAAGAAAAAAAAACGCTTTTTCATTCGAGCTCATGCTTTCATAAACTCAGCTGAAAGTTGAAGAAAAAGCATCGTAAAGAATAAGACAAATAGTATTGACGATTTAAAAACGAATTTGACTGTTCTGACCCATGTTCCTAAAGCATTGTCCCTGCACCCATTTGCTGTCCAGCTTCTTTTCCTCAAGAGGAATTTCCATAAACCTCGGTTTGCCACACAATCTGACGTCACTAGTCTGGATGACAAGAGTGTCCTCGCCTTTACGTTGAGGCTTCTTCTTGCAGATGTGTTGAGGCTTTTTAGTGAAGTACGCCGTCAAAAGGTAGTGGCCATGATCGTCCTTGACAAAAGCCGACGGTCGGGGTCGGGTGGGTGAGAGGATAAGGTCATCTGATTCTGTAATCTTTTAGGGGTAGGGAGGAACACATATTGTAATTAATTTATTAAACGGTGGTCCAATGGTCCAAGTTGATAAACTAGCCTCAAGTAAATTGAATTGAAGACTGCCTAACTCCAAAAGCATATATTTTAACAATTCCCGTCTTTACAAGTATTTTGAGTAATACCTCAACTGCGAAAGGTGGTTTTTACAACTAAACTCTGGGTTTTTCAGCAATTTGGCTGTGCTAGTGCGCACTTAGACTACTTCCTTTCATTCGATGACCGTCGCGCCAATCAGAAAAAGAAAAAAGAACATACAAAACAAAACTGATGTTAGCGCCCCACGCGGAACTCTGGGAGTGAGACAAACAAAAAGAGTTCTCCCGGAACTCCGCACGGTGCGCTCACTTCACGTCTTTTCTTCTTCTTTTTTATCATTTCGCCGATTTTTTTAACTTGCTTAACGGACTATGCCGAAGAGGAGGAACTGCCTGTAGTCCAATGCGCACAAAGAGCTGAAGCATCTATCGCAATCTCACCGTCCCTTGTATTCCAGCGAGGTTTCCTTCAGAATCAAATAACAACCTCGTGGAAATATCATCGCCCAGAGCATATCTGTTTCCATAAAATGGATTTTGAGAGTCTGCAACGAAATGAAAAACTGTTAAGACCGCGCTCCACAAAAAGAAAGAAGAGGAGCTAAAAAAATTGTTTTGTCTTTGGCCAGATCACTATCAGTTAAAAGTAAAAACTTTTGTCAGAAGAAGACATCTACAATGCTAAGAAAGTGTGCGGTGTCTAGGTACGATCTATTCAACAAACTAAATGTCTTGTAATACCACACGAGGCGTCGTTTCTCCATCCCTCTTTTAAAGCTTGATCTTCCGTCCGCGGAAGTGGCGTCGGATTCGGGAAATTCACTGAGCAGGAACGAAGAAAAAAAATAGTGACAAAGAATATATCACGTAGGTAAATAAAAGAGTGAGCAATCACTCATTGTCAAACGATACACGAAAAGTGTGAGGCTGTAAAAGCAAGTCTAAAAGCGACGTTCCAGTAGCTTCTTTTCTCGCGTCACTGAGATTAAACCCTTACGTTAATGGGTTACAAACTCTCCATGTTACGCATTTTCCCTTTTTCTCAAATTACTCTAAACCTTAGATCAAGAAATTTCAACGATAAGAGAAAAAGCAACAACAACAACAGGAAAAAAAACAACATCAGCAGGCTACGGCCCTCTTGAAATTTCGAAAGCATCATTCAGAGTCTACAGAATAAGTTTTAGGGGTCGTATTTCGTTGCACAAGTTTAGATCATGACTAGGGCGAGGAACTGTAAGCGACGAGTATGCGATTTTATTGCCGCCTTAGTAAAGTATAGATGTTCTTAGGCTAGGAAATAAATATTGAAACGATTTTTAGAAGCTGTCTGTAAAAGTGACATCTTTCTTTCCTTTTCCCTTCAACTTAATCGTTAAAGACATTGACTGAATCATTTGCATTCGATACTCACCCAGCAAACGATCCCATTTATTTCCTAAAGTATAAGAAAGAAAAATTATTAGGTAAAAAAAAACATGTTATGCTAGAGTACTCATTCGACAGTTTATATTTAAGATTTTAATTTAAAAGATTCGAAATGAAACAGCCTTCAACACGTTAGATAAACTAAAATAATTATTAATTTGCGTGTATTAATGAAGCTCATGTTATTTTGTAAATTAAAAGTTATGAGCTTTTCAGGCATTGTCCGTTTACGTTTTCACCACGGCATTTAGTACAAAGAAACGGAAATTGCTTCACCTAATATCATTTAGTCTGGATAATAACCTCATCACCCCAGGTCAGGGACATACGGAATCTCAAAACAATCTTATTTACAAAGTTCTGTAAATTCACAGTTTTCATTATAATTTACTTTGAAAAACATAAGCATTTACGGAGTTTACAAATAGAGGTTTTTCGATTTAGAAATGCGTTAAATGTGAGTCGTGTAACCCCGAAAATAATTAGATTTACAGGGAATTCAGCAAAATGGCAGTTTTATTTGTATAACTCAGTTTATAAAACAAATACAAATACTAATGAAGACTGAGACAATAAATTAGATATGGAATGTTTGCTCTCAACGAAATTATGAGATTTCTAAACTTCTGTGTAAAAGCAGTTTCGTAGAGGAAGGCAGAGTTATTATAGAATTACAGTCGATTCATTCGATAACCAAAGGCAAGTGCGAGATTAAAACCATGGCGACGAAGATAAGCTGATAATATTTATAATAATATTCAAATAGCTAAGATCTCAATTTGAATGCGAGAGAGCGTTTACCGGAGTTGAATAAGAATCCGCTGCCTATAGCATGAACTTTCAGCTGCACAAATCCGACTTGAAAAAGAAAGTTTTTAATTTTTTAGTTCGCTATAACCTACGTAAACCATTCGAAATTCATTTCTTAAAATAACTATTCCCAAGCGTTTTCTCGTGGGAAAAAGGAAATTTTTTTTGCATCGATGAATCAATAAACAAACCTTTTCAATATAAGCGACAAACTTCATTGTATCTTTCTACCTATTATCTCTCCTTTCCTAGCTAACATCTGATTGCTTGTTTAGGACTGTATATAATAACAACAAACGTTTAATTTTCATGTTATAGGTTTCTACAAATATTGGATAAAATATAATTAATCCCCAGTGAAAGAGGAATAGGAACAAACAACTGTGATAAAAAAGAGTGGCATTATCCTTTTTAAACATTATGAAATTTGTTAACGGTAAAACCTAAAAACAAACGATAAAAGTTACCACATACGATTGCAAATACATTTAATAACCTTATTCATTTCCGGAATAAGAAGTTACTTCAGTTGCGTTGGTTCTAAGTAGGATGTGAAAAAAACAGCGCGATTCCTCAGATGTACGCGAAAGTACCAATTTACAATTGAAATGTGTAACCTCTTGTATTACAAACTGAAATAACTTTTGATTCATTTCCGGCATAGATCATGATATCAAATTCCTCGCTGAATCACTTATTCGGAGAAAACGCCTGAAGCCATCGAAAGAAAAGCGACAGATATATTTTGAATGTAAAAAATGAAACTAGTCCAATTTCTAAAGATTTTTAGGATTGATAATAAATAGAAAAGATATCATATTTTCCAGTTTCATGTTTTTTCCCTTGTTAACATCCTGTTTCTTGTATCGATATTTCAAACTTCAGAATAGAGAAAATTAGGACAATTTATTTTCCTCTGAAATTTTCTCCAGTAAATCAACATCTTGAAAGTTTCCATATATTTCCCATTCCTTGTTCTAATGAAACATTTGTAATTTGGTGTGAGATTAAAACGGTATTTTACAATACGTGAGCTCATGTAATTTATCATGCTGTGAATGTAATTCGGAATCGTGATTCGGTTATTTCTGTTATTCTCAGAAAGTGGTTAAAAAATTATTGGCATGGCAGAGAAGAAGCCCTTTTGTGTGAACATTGAGATTTAAATTATTACTTATGATGTATATTGTATATTATATATTGTCTCGATGGATTAATGGCTTTAACGGCGAACGGTTAATATTCTAGCCATTTTGCGGCTAACGGTTAAATTCTTTCCGTTACTGTTGAAAAGAAATTTCAACGGTTAACTTTTTTTTACGACTAAAAGTTAAACTTTGTCAAACTACTAACATGTCATAGAAAAAGTGGTTCATGCTTCAGCCTCTTCTATGCGGCTGTTGATAAACTAATGTACGTCGCTACTAAATGCCACCTATTAAACATTTTCTTTCTATTTGTAACCGTTTATCAGACCATGCAGGAAACTTTAAATTTCTGAGTCTTGAAACATCCATCTGCAAGACGCTAGGCAGTAACATTATGTGGCGTTGCCCTCTTGCAATAATTTGCAGCAAAGAAATTGCGAACATTTCAACGTTTAAAATTCACGTAATAGGGTTTTTCGAGAATAACTAACCTTTGCCTCCACAACTCGCCACTATCTCAGCATAGATAACTACTACACTGACAAAAAATATCTTTGTTTTTGACATTGTGACCTTCTTAATTCACACTTCTGCCTATTGTGCCAGCTGACGTCCTCAGGGGAATGTGCTTAACTGAAAAAAGATGATAGAGTGTGTAGTTAAACGCTTTCCAGAGAAAGTAAGCTTTGATCAGATGACGGGAAAAAGATGTACTCCTCCAATCTGTCAAGACATACACGTTCGCTTTTCAAACAAGATAAATAACACTATCATTGGACAGTTTACAAGTAAGTTGACAAGATGTCAATAATAGTCCGAACTTTGTGCGACAAATCAATTGACAATGTTTGATCATGGCTTTCCATGAGACTTGACAAAAAAGATAATATATACCTCTCAGCATATTTCCCCATCGTACCTAATTGCCATAGAAACTAATAATGTAATTCGCTGCAATATTGTAATATCGTTGGTCGTAAGTATAGCCTACCCATAGAAAAAATCGATCGTTCAATTATAAATCGACTAATACACAGCAATCTGAACAGTTATCAATCACAAAGGTCGTCCGCTATTGAGACGGTATTTTTATCGCTGGGGGGGAGGGGGGCGCGGAGGAGGGGGGACGGAAGAGGGAGGATTGTGGGGTTCGGGGGTTTTTGGTTTTGTTACGATATAATTCAGCTGATCTGCCCCCATCTCCATTGGAAGTAAATTAGCGGTCAATTTTTATATTCCCCCTTTTATACTCTGTTGGCGACGACTTATCCCCTTCCCCTTCCCGTCCTTCCCCCCTGAAATCTACGCGATCTTCCGCCCCCCCCCCCGAAAGCTTTCATTGTTTACCACGTACTGAAGATTTAAAGCTATCATGTACATTCAGACCCGTAAAACCACCGATCATCCGCTTTGTAGGTGTCAATGTTTTTGTCATCGAATGTTTTTATAAGACCGTTTCAACAAAGTATTTTATGGCCAGTTGAGCTCAGCTGACAGCTTGTAAAGCAGGAGCTTTTGCTTTCGTCCAGATGTACAGTCCTTGTCCAACTGCAGTCGCCTGCATAAACAACACTTTTCAAAGCCGGACAGTTTCGTTAAGAACGTAGGTGAAACTGCTAAAACAATTGTGTGTGCAGCTATCAACATGAAAGTTTGCGAATGTAACAACGAAAGCGTTATCTTCTCAACAATAACTTTTGTTTTGACGAAAAAAGCTAACAGAAAGGTTGAAACTAAAAACGTAAATAAGAGATAAGTTACGTAGGATAAACAATTTATGAAGAATATAAAGTACAAACAAAATAAAACGGAAAAATACTTACATCGATAACGCCTTAATAAAACTGTTGTTAGGCACGGTGGTGGCCCGCTTGGACGCCAGAAACAGGATAGCCACGTTTATCGAAAAACTGGCACATTGCAAAAATTTATCTTCCAAATCGGCACCCTTAATCCCCACGGAATTAACGAGCGCTTTTCATTTAACTAATGTATTCCTGTTTTCTCGTCACCATATTCCCACCAATAGCGTAGCTCCACTTTCTGCATATAAACTCACCCACAACCCACAATTCCTCCAATCGCTCTGACGAAGGGCTAACGCTCAAAACGTCAGCTTTTTTACCCTTTACGGTGGCCAATTTACGTTTTCAACTGAGTTGTGAACACTAAATTACCTGCTTTACTCTTCCACCGACGCAGCACCACTGTTTCTTGAGAAACTTACCCCCTTCATTCATTTAAATGATTGGCGAACTCCGACCGGCCAAAACAATCATTTTTAAGTATGCGCGCGCTACTCATGCGTGAAAATGATGCGCATTAGGATGCGCAATGTAGTGTTCAAATGAAGAATGACCTTAAGGACCTACTTTTGACCAGTATGCATTGCGGGCAGCGTTAGCCATCGGCGGCAATCAACTCGATGTTGATTATTCCACAAGCTTCGGGAAAACAATACAAGCCTCGCTCTCGTGAAAACCAAAAAAAAAAAAAGAGGCGTGCAATGCATACTAGCCAATACCGGGTCTTGAAAGTTTGGGGGAAGTTATTTAAAAATGAACTATATTGTACGCTAGTCGTTCACAAGAATATATTGAGTCAATCATGCCAACAATTACAATGACGAAAAGTAAACTAAAGTAAATTCAGTTTTAATCCGTTAAATATAAAGCTGAGTTTATGTAATTTTGAATCTTTTTTTTTTAAGATCAGTCACATCATTGTCACGTTGAAGGGAAATCGCAGAAATTGTTTTCGAGATGTCTGTCTAAACACAAGCGATTTTTAAAGGGTCCACAAAATAGACATGTTGAACGGACACCATTTGGAGATCTTTCAGGCAAGCAGGTGTTGTCTCTGGCTTCATCGATCTCTGAAAAAAAAAATACAGACCAATATATTTTCCCGCAAATTAGCACTTAACTCCAAAAGGTCCTAACATGGCCCTACTGAAATGCTCATGCAAATGCACACTGATTATGATAAAAGAGCTGAAGGCGTGTCTCTTAGAGCCAAGAATTGTTAACTCTTTCACTTCCGTGATAGCTGAGTACTTAGCTTCTCTGTAAACATTTTATACAATAGCGAATGGTCAGTCTGGTGAGAAATGATATGATCAACTTGTGTTTAATTAACGGATGAAAAAAACATAAAATAAAATAAAAGTAAAAACAGCAAAAGAAAGAAAAAAATGTCGTTGTCACAGCTGTTATTTAGTCTTGTCACGCAATAACAAAGCGGAACAGAGTATGCTGCGTGATATGACCAACGAGCGGTTGAGGATAGTAACACTGGCTATGCACTCACCGCAAAAAGAGACGGATCTGGCTTCTCCCATGCGTTGCTTGTGACGTCAACTGGCCCGCCCCAGCCAAAACCAATCAAAGATTTCGTTTTCTGACTGAACAACAGAAAGACTGGCAGGCTTTTATAACAATCCAAGTCAACAGAGATATTGTAATGATAGTGGACACCTGTCGAAAGAACAGGGAGAAAATAGTTTGTATATTGACCAACTGCGCTAAGAGGATTCGCAGCTGATTCATTCCGACGTTCTTTTTCTCATTTTTCTTTTCATTTCTTTTTGTTTTGTTTTTTTTTTCAAACAAATGCACAAGGTTGCCATAGTCTGAAGCACAGCGTTGCTTGCCAGTTTGTGCCACGAAATGTCACTCATTAAATTTCCAGAAAGATGGTTTGTGTAAATGGCAGGAATTCCTTCCCCAGGGTGTTGAATAATCCATTTTGTGCATGATTTGAAATAAATATCAAAGCTTATTATTCAATTAAAATTATTTATTTATACCCATTCCAGGAATACAAGTTCCTTCAACCCATGGCGTCCCTGAAATCTGATTTGCATCAAGAGGCACAACCATGACGTCTTTCTTTAGGCGGAAGTCAGCCATTTGAATCCACACCCGGTCTCCTATTGGTGGTTTGTTATTTGCACCCTTGTTACACTTCCCTTTGCAGACGCAAATTTCGTCTGGATCCCGGAAGTAAACAGTGACAGCCACCCGTCCATCATCGAGTGAAATCCACGGATACCGGTCATGTGAGTTCGGATATTCATTCGTTTGATAGATCTGAGATAATCGAGGAAGTACACGAAGAGAAATAAATGCAGATTACGATGAAGTAATGGGATGTAATCTGCAAAATGGATGCTTAAATGCAAAGTGGAAGTGCACTTGGCTACTTCAGCTGGTCACCGGTTCAAATGCAGAAAAAAGGCTTCAGTCTGCACCCCCAGTCTCGTTCCCGGAGTTCCTTCTAGCCTTATCCCGCGGGATATGGTGGACAGTTTTACCCCTTCATACTCCTGGGGGAAAAAGGACGTTGTAATTGCAACGCGTCTTACCCACGAACACAGCACAACAACCTGGCCTAGAAATTGGATATTTGGATCTGGAGTCAGGGGTAATCTCCTTTCTTAAAAATATTCACGACAAACAATGGATCCAAATTTAACGTATGACAAAAACAAACACGTTACGCGAGTCGTGTGGTGCTCTAGAAATATAATGAAGTGGGCACGTGCTCCTTGGGGTGCGCTTTCAACCAGATTGACAAGTTCATAAATTGATGTACTTTCTTACCGTTGCCTGCATTCCTGCCAAGCTCCCATCACAGTCAAAGATGAGCCTCGTGGCATCATCGTCCTTTTGGGAATAACGATTGCCATAGAAAAACTTGGCTTTTCCTGTATAGGATAAACAATGACGTAACATCTGAATTAAAAAGTTTAAAGACTGTCAGATAGTGGTACTAAGTATGCTAAGGTCCAACATCCAATTCTATGTTGATATTTCGCGCATGTCTGTAGAGAGAACTGGGTAAGAAGGAAAGTCATGAGACATTCGTTTAGGTTGTAGTTTCCGTGGTGACGGTTTCCATAACACAACAAAACTGACTAAATCATAGACGAACAACGGGAGAAGAGGAAAATGTTTGAAACCGCACATTGTAACCATGAAATAGGAAAGTATAATTACTGCATAATAGATTGAACACTTCACACGCCAGAGTACTTCGTTCAGGCCCAGTACCTGAGCATTTCGCGTCTTGCCTCCAGCCAGCCTGCACTGCCTGTTGGGAAGTCAGTGGATAGGAAGTAAACTTCATAAATGTCACTGCAAGAAATATATAAACTGAGCTTTCATTTATTATTCTTAAACAGTAACACTTTCTGCTGTTGTGTTGGGAGGCATAGCAAAACTACTACCACGCCATTGGCCCAAGAGGACCCCTGTAGTGAGTTTCTTTTTCCTTGGACTCATAGGGACAGTTATTACACGAGGTCTAACCCAAACCACGGTTTTACGCAATCAGTGGGCCGCGGATACTCTCTATAAGAGGGTTGATTTAATTAAATAAATGTCCTTTCACCGTTAGCTCGCGGCATTCTTGAAATTGTTCTCAAAAATCTATGTTCAGACAAAAAATTCACCTTAATCGAAGATAGTTAAGAGCGCGGTTTTTTTAAACAACGGTTAATCTTTGCTTAATTAAATAGGTGGCGCATAATGTTCCCCTTGGCTTCCACTCGAGAAATATTAAAGGTCTCTGGGAAACATGAATCACTGTTTCACTTTGGGCCAGTCATCAATTGTTCTTCAAAGATTCATTACCCTGAAGTAAATAAGTATCAACCGTGTTCACAATCTGGTTGCCACGACAACATTGTTATCTTGACAAGTAAAGGTATCAAGTTCTCGAAACAAGAGAAACTCAGGTATCTCATCAATTATCTATTTATTGATGGACAACACTATGTTACTGCTCTTATACTGTGCAGTGTATGATACCATCATGTAGTACCAATCACATAATAAGTACTGTTGGAACTGGAAAGATATAAATGAAATCAATTTGCTGCGTAAATGATTATAGATAAATTACTTTTGACCATTTTATGTCAAACCTCGTAGTTGGTCCCACTCTGATGAGCCTAAATAAGTAAAAAAAAAAAAGGGGGACAATTAGAAAACTTGTATTTCGCAATTTTGGTGTATGTAAATATGACAAAGATTACTCGATGATGAACTTTCGTCAATCTTGCATATCTTAAGCAAGCATTGTCCCGTTGTATCTCTGTGCCACCGCTAGAAACTTTAGAACAAAAGTACAAGTAGCAAAAGTACATTTTCCGACGAATGGCAAAGCTTGATGGGAAAGTTACACTAAAAGATGCCTATATATTTGTAAGTCCAAAATCATGAGATAACGAAGGCTCCCAGTGTTTTGTCCTACATGTTATAGTTTATGGTAGATGTTATCGGCTAATGTTCATAAACGCCTGTTTATAAAGGCCTTACTATTTTCAAATTGAGCTCTGTGATTCACAGAGTACTACAAAATACAGTATAACATCTACAAATGGATCCGTGTGGAATTGAGTACCGGCCGTCAGATGAAGCCCCTTTGGAAAATATGAAAACGTACCTTGCAAGTGGAGGACAAAAAGTTGAAGGCTTATCACACAGAAAAAGGCTTTCCACCCTATCATCGTGTCCTTCTAAGTGTAAATCGCAGCCCTATATGTAATAAACAAAGTAGATGAGTTGTCGTGAATATATTTAAATAACATTCAGAGAGAAAGTCAATTGGTTTGATGTCAAGAAAAAGGAAAGTAACAGGATACCGTCAAAAATTTATCCAGAGTTACAAACCATAGAAGATAATTATTTTTTGTAGGCGTTTGTTGATCTTTGTCAGCCTTTGAATATTGCCGTCATGTTTGTTTTAAGGAAAAATACTCCTGATGAAAATGAATTGAAAACAAATAGTAAATATGATGCTTCCAAGTACACTGGGGATTATTAATAAAAGCTGAATTAACACCTATTGTAAATGAAACGGAAATTGGGAGCATGTCATTTCCTGATAGTGCTTCAAAATAGTTCCCCGTTGGAAATAAAAACGAGTAGGTTTTCTTAAGATAGGTTTACTCGCGCCTCATATCATAAAACGCAATTTTATTTGATTTTACTGCAAATTGATATAACTAACAGGTTTTATTGTAAATATTCTGTAAAGTGCCCTTGAAATTATGGGCTAGAGTTGAGGCAGTAAATATGTTATCACTAAGATAGATTATTCTTGAGATTTCCTCAGTTTTGACTTGATCCAGTCTACTTTATATTTTTCTATTCATTTCTGGAAAGTGATGAGTTTTACCAAAAACATTTGGTCATAATTACCAAACCGCCATATAATTTAGTGCAGGTTTGTGAGCAAAGTTATCCTGATCGCTGATCTATCATTTGCAAAAAAAGCTGAAAAAGACTGTGAGACTTGAATTATTCTTACCAAAAATTGGTTCAAATTCTGTCTTTTATCATAAACAAAAATATCCATAATTTTTTTCAAAGACAAAAAGGTACAAAGATGTTCAAACGAAGGCCGTTAATTTTACTATTTTAGCTGTGCAAACAACTTAAGATGGAAAAAAAAAATTAACTTTACCGTAGATCTCTGAGGTAAAGAAAATCTTATCGTATTTAGTTTACGGTTTAAATGTACAGAACACAATTTTTTAACGTGATTTTTATAGTTGTGGTTGAATTCATGTTAATCAAACGAGCTTTCACTAAAAAATTTCTCCCACAAAAGCATTTTAGTTAACAAATAATGACCTCTTTTAGCAAACACCAGCCTTAATGAAACTGTAGAGGTTTGATTTTGATAAATAACGATAAGATTGATATGGACAACGAGGCCCAGTTTGGCTCAATAATATTTAAGAGAATTTTTAGTTTTATTGATTAAATATTGTTAAAGATATAGTTAAAGATCTAGCATTATAGACAGAAAAGTAATAACGATCACTTTTTCTTTCTGGTGCAAAATTTTTTTTTCAGTTTTCACAATAAAAGGAGTCAACATTTATGGTAATGTAGTTTTTGCGACAGACTTTGGGTTAAGAGGTCTGGGTTCGAGCCTCTGCCGAGTCATAACAGTGTGTCCCTTGGAAAGAAAATATTGTAATCGTTGCAGGAATAAATATCCATCACTAACCATTCCCACTTCGGTAAATAGCTGTCAATTATCATCAATTCCACATCACAAATTCCATCATCTACAAAATTCGAAGCAAGATTCGGAATCCTGCAGATGGCAGTTCTCGTCCAAGAATAGATGACCTTAAGCTCTTGTGGAAGAATGTCTGGCCATCTTGCTAAAACGACAAGCACCTTAGCCTGCTCGTGAAACATTTTAACCCTTTCACTTCCAAGATCTCATTAGTAATTCTCCTTACTGTCTGTCATAAGTTTCTTACAATGTTACGCGTTTTTCCAGCCTGTAGGACATGTAGGGTTAGAAGCTGATATAATGTCAAAGATATTCTAATATTTTTGGGTGCGATCTTGGATCAATATCAGTATCTGGGCAACTGCCCCCCTACCCCACCCCTAACCCAACAACAGTCTATTGATAATAAACTAGGGTTAATGTTGGGTTAGGGGAGGGGTAGGTGGGTTGATATTGATCCGCGATCTTTAATCTCCTTGAGGATGACCAGAAATAAAGCGGTGGCAAGTAGTTTGAAAAATAGTGCTAAATTCTTTTTAAGAATCCCAACTCTTGTATTTTTCCCTTTTAAACTCGTTTCGACTTAGAATATAGGAAGCAGGGGCGTAGCCAGAATTTTTCAAAGGAGGGGTCACACTGTGTCAGACAAAGGGTACTCGTCAGTTTTCGCTACCTGAATATTGTAAGTTGTTTGCTTCAAAAAAGCCTTACAAAGAATCGATGTGCACAAGATTTTATTTCTCTTTATGATGTTTCAAATCTATTTCGGGGTTGGCCGGCAAGTAACGCAACAATAAATTTTCGGAATATCGGAGACGTGAACCACTTAGCGGAGCAGTCTGTTATCAATTATCCTGTTTACGGCGCAGACACTGGGTCTAGCCTCATTACCAGTTCTACTCAACCCGCAGGTAGCCATCTTGGATTTAGTTTGGGAACGGTGCACATGTGTTACCTTGTAGTCATGTAGAGCCATAGCGAGTGTTTTAAGAGGTGTTTTCATCTTCTTTGGAATCTGTTCGTATTCAAGATGCCTCCAACAATCCAGGATGGACAAAAGAACAGAGATCAGGACAGAAGGTTAGACCAGCTGAGAGAAAAGTGACAGCGACGTAAAGTTTGTTGTAATGCTAGCGCTGTTGCTCGTTGTTTGTTTCTTCATGCAAAATAATATTCTGCGTTAACTGCTCTCAGGTTAACAATAGTTAGTAAGGTAGTTCTGAACTGATGTGTCAGACTAACCCGCCAGCCAGCAGATTTCGTGGTTACTTTCAGTATGAAGTGATGAAGGATCGACAAAGGATGTTATTCTGTCTCACTTTGAAATTTGCTCAAGAAAATGGTGTAACCCTGTATGTTACGTCTTTTGCAGGCAAAGTTCATTGCGTCAAACAGTAAGGTAAGCTTTTTACTAGATTGTTAACTATTCTTCACTTAATTAGTTCATCTAAAATTGAAAAAAAATTTACCTTATTCCTTCAATTTTTCTGTCAAATTATCAACAATTGTTTTTCTCTGCGTGTTCTTATTTGCAGCAAGGCTGATTTTGTTTCCCGGGTTAAATATAACAACAATCTACCAGATATTCCTTTTGATGCCAAGTTCATTGCTTATCCTTTTGAATCAAACAGGTAATTTAGAATTAGTTATACATTTTACAAGAGCAAAATAGTAATTAAAAGAGAAAATTCAGTTTCATGTGCATACACAAGTTACATATTAACCCTTTAACTCCCATGAGTGACCAAGACAGAATTTCTCCTTACAATATCAATGCAATATCAACCAGATAAGTGATGAGAATAAAGAAAAATATCAATTTGGGGATAATTAGTTGATCCAATACTAAATTCTCCACACTGACATTATAAGAAATGTATGGTTGCCAGTAAGGAGAATTAGAAATTCAATCTGGGAGTTAAAGGGTTCAGTGAAAAATAAAAAGTGCCAATAAAGCTGATTTTAGTATAGTATGTTAGTGTAAAAGGAAAGGTTAGCTTATACATGTAACCCTATGCTATTCCAAACCAAAGCAGTAGTTCCAAAGGCACTCAATTGTTTGGCATTTATTATTTTTTTATCCAATTACTGTAAGCATGATGCATTGATCAATTTGAAGCTTTGACCTTCCTCCCCCCCCACCCCCACCCCCCACTTCAAGTAACCACTTGGGCTTTTAAACTTTTGAAGATTTGTTTGTTTAAATTCCCACCCCAGGGGCCAAAATTGTGTTCAGATACCTTACGCATGTTTTTCTGAATGTGACGTCAGCAACCATGACTTTCTACACATTGAACTTTTCTTCTGAACATTTCCTTGTAAAGTGAACTATGTACTGTAAAATACTTCAATATTAGAGATATAACGCTTGTATTCTGCTGGAAAGACTAAACCCCTTTGGTTCAAATTCGTCACCCCAGCCAGGCAAGGTTACTGGTAAATTTCCTAAGCCTGGGCACTACCAGAACTCTACCATTTATTTTTACATTTCTCAACCATGAGGTCACGTAAATCCCATGACCTAAACATCATTAATGCAATGGCATGCAATGAGTACAAACAAGATAAAACATATTAAAAAAAAGTAAACAAAATGTCAGTGTTTAGGCATGACATTTTTATTTTGCAAGTTTAGTCTTAATGTTTAATATTAATTTTACACTTAATTAAACAGTGTACTTGGATTTATTGCCAGGTTTGTGGATTATAAACCAACAACATTGGAGAAAAACTACAGGCATGAAATGTTGACAGAGGTGGACCTGGGGGTCAATATTGATCTTATCAACCCAGACACCTATGCTATAGATCATAATGGTAAATTTTCAACAATTTTTATTTTCTGTTTAAAATAAATACATCCATTGCTAGAGAAAGATTATGTTATTCTGTATCATGTTTTAATGACTGTGAATATATGAAAATCAGATATGTGAACTGCAATTTGAGAAATGAAATTGAAAGCAATCTTTGCCATCATGAACACTTCTTAAGCAGTAATAAAAATAAGACCCCAAAAAATTCAGGCCTGTATGGGATTCAAACCCATGACCTCTGCAATACCAGTGCAGTGCTCCACCAACTAAGCTAACAATCCAACTGGGTACTGGTCCCGTGTTCATTACTGCAAAGATTGCTTTCAATATCATATCATGTTTTACTCCGCAGGTGCATTACCCTTAAAAAGTGAAAAAAAAATAAACTTGTATTACTTATCATACTTAACCTTAAACTCCCAAGATCTAATTGTAAATTCTCCTTTCCAGTAGCTCCACATTTCCTTGTAATAAGCTATGGGAATTTGGTGTTAGATCAAGAAAAACAATTTCTACCTGATAAGTTTGAGTATTCTTTTTACCTGTTTGCTGGATATTGTATGGATATTGTAGGGAGAAGTTACATGTTAATCGCTTCAGGGAGTCAGAGGGTTAATGATGTTATGATTTTAATTTTGGTTGAATTGCAGTTTCTCTTGATCCTGATGATGAGAAGTTATTAGAAGA